GATAGTTTTGTTCTGTGTAATGATACTCGGTTTCCCCGCGTCAAATGCCTCTTTTTCTTCTTGCAGTCCGGGGAACACGGGTACCTGCAAATTGAACGCCATCCCCGTGGTCGCACCCCGACTACTGGCCGCCATGGCTTCGGCCTCCTTGAGCAAAGTTCGATTGGTCATCTCCATTACCCGATTGACCAACGCTTCCGTTTCTTCGGGATCCACGGAGCGACACAGCAGTGTCACGGTTCGTACCCCAGAGACTATCCGGAACGGAGAGAGAGGGGGTGGGCGGGGCAGAAAACAGAGTTGGAGTATGATCAGTGTACTATAAATGCACAAAGAATGTCTGAGACAATTTGGTTGCACCTTCATCAGTGCGTTACGGAATAGAGATACTATGACCCTATGTGATCTTCAGTGAAACTTGATGGAGCCTGTGATCAATGGACATGCATAAATGTACAGATGTTTTGTCCTGAAAAAAACAAACAAGGAACAAGCGTTAAGAACATATATATATATAATAACTTTTTTTGTTTACTGAACGCAATTTTGAAAACTTATGTAGTACGTGGAACAATTTTGGAAGCACTGGAATCATGAAAACTTGGAGTCCAGTTGACGATTCACTGAAGGAACTCAAATCAGCCGGAACACCGAAGAACTGTGAAGAGAACTAATTGCGGTCAATTCTAGAAATCCCTCCCCCGGTGAACATACACCAAATGGGAAGTATGACCAACGGCGGTGACAGAATTTGAAGTCACGACCTTCGGACGGCTGTTCTGATGACCTCGACTGCGTAAAAACTGCCTCCACCATCATTCAGTGTGTTGGATATTATAAAGCATACCGTGTACGGTTATCGACCCTCGTATTTACTCCAATTCAGCTCGGATACAGTACTGATTCAAGTCTCTCCCGCGCACTGCTCTGAGCAAGTAGTCGCCCGGTCACACTTGGTTCATGTTGTCGAAAAAAAAACAGATCCGCAAATGGCACTGATTCAACTAAGTTGCTTTTCCTTCACGGATAGCATACCGAGAACTGTAGCATTTCCACAATACAATACAATGCTATACAGTATATCTTGGAATTTCAAATACAATGTGTGTGGTAACTGTATGTCTACCCATGCTGGTTTGACACCAATCTAATCACAAATTTGCGATGCCCGCAACAGGCTCGGAAAGATGAAAAATGGAGGACGGTATCTGATTAACTACCTTGTGGCCGAGTAAGTAGCATATTTGCGTTCTGTCTGTGAGGTCCCGGGGTTCGCGCATCCCCAGTTGGGAGTCGATGGATTCGTACTGCTGCTGATGAGACCGAACCAGGTAGAAACAGCTGTACAATAGTGCTTCCTAGCTTTTCAGTTCACGCTTTATTTGCTCTCTATGCACGACGAATTCCTCCTAATGAAATGAAATCAATTCCTCAATTAATCTCATGCCATACGGGAATTTCGTCAGTCGCTGTTCGGGTGAAACTAAACTAAGCCTACCAGAGCCACAGCATTAAATATGACAAAACTAATGGGTCTTTAGTCACGGAGCGTTCCTATCAGGGATGCTCACATCTGTTATACACCAGTTAACTGGGTAAGGCTAAAATGATGAAGTAATTGAAGTAGCAGAAAAGAGAGAGAGAGCGGGGAAAATTGACTGTCATCCCAATGGTGTGGATTACACTCGGAAAACGCTGAATTAATCAGCGTTATATAGATTAATTCAGTTCCTGAAAGATTTACATTCGCTTCAAATATGAAAAACAGACATTCAAAACTGATCAGCGGCCATTGACAGCTAAAATAAATCACCAAAATTGATGATCCGGATCAAGGTTTCTCATGCTGGTCTATAGGTCAAACGTGTTAACAATCCGGTTGTTTGACCTAGAATCACATAATTCACATGCACACATACACAATCTATTGATTTGTATATGGAATGCTCGAGCTGTTTTTTGTGGTAACGCTCAAATGCAAAATAGTTATCAAACCGATGATTTTGGCCGTTGAATATTTTTCTTCCTCTAATGTGCATGGACCAAGACCGGTGTGATCAAGAAGGACATCGACCACAACTGATCGATAAAATAATAAAAATAAATGTCTTTTTACTTTCTTTTTCTATTTATTGAGTATACAAATGTACAATCAACTTTCAGGAAGGGGGCTGCGACCATAAAAAGGCTGCCTGAGGAAAATACAGATATGGGGAAAACGGGCGGCGCTGGAGCGGTTTGAACCCGGGGCAATCAGGTCACTAGTTGGTGACCTAAACAATTGGCCACCGAGCTGTTCTGGCACACAATCGGATTGGTTAGTTTGCTCCGTGATGTGTGCTCATAACTTTTCACCGGGATAACAAGACGCCTTTTAACCATGGCCAAGGCTACTGCAATTAGCACTAACAGTCCAGGGTTATGCAAGCAGAAAAAGCTGGTCCAGATATTTTTGTAACCCCGGCTTGGACAGCGGATTGATTGTGCGTAAAATAGAGAATCAGCCCGCCTTCCCAACCCCCGCCCGGCCCCCATCCAATAACATCAACCACAATCTTAAGAACAAATTATTTTATTTTTGTTTCCAGTGTCCCTTCCTGATTACATTACTTGCTGCGCTTGACATATAGTTTCTATTGTATCTTACGTAACTCCATCTTGCTCTCTGGTCTTAACTCTAAACCTTCATTTTATTCTACTCATCTCTCTACCGTTTACCACTG